CCCCAAAACCCCAAAACCCCAAAACCCCTGAAGTGAATGTAAAATGGTACGTGCAAAATTGATTTTAATGAAATAAAGAGATATCTTTAGGGTTATTTCAAAGATTCAATTTTCTTGGAACTTTGTAAATAGACTAATGACTGATTGTTTTAAGTTCATCAATTTTGGATCTGACAGTTTGGTTAAACTCTCCATTGAAATTTGAAGACTTATTAAAGTCTAATGGTTAGAGATTCGATTTGTTAAGCTTGTAAATTTTTGGCTTTTCGATACTTTCTGGATTTACTATCTAACGATTTTATCTAAGTGTCTTTTGAATCTAAAGTTGAAGTGGAGTTCCCTGCTATTTTTTTGTATATGCTTTTCCATCTTCTTTGTCTTCGCTGTTGCTTTGGAAAGTCCTATTCATTTGGGATATCTTTTCAAAATACATTTGCCTGCTTTTCTAATTTTATCTCAGTTTTTAAAGTAAGCTTTCGGCTCCGCTTCTTTAGCTTGTAGCATCAAAACTCCTCTCCATCTAGTTGATGCTATGCTACAATGTCTGGAAGTTATTTTTCGTTTAGAAGGTTTTATCAATTGTATTATTTACTCTATATCTATCTATGAAACTCTTGCCCTCTCTTTTCTTTTCTAGTCTTTGAACTGATTTGTTGTCGCTTGAAATATAGCCATAATCTGAGAGCTTATTGTCTATTTCCTTCTTTTTCTAAAACTATTGCAAATAATCTTCTAGTTAGGGATGATTTTTTAACCTATCCTACTTTGCTCCTGATTATTGTCTATCTGTTCTGGGGAAATTTGTAAAGTTTTAGGACTAATTATCTTTTACTATCGTCTTGCTGAAGTTTGATCTGATTTCATCTTATTCAAGTGTCGTCCACAGGTCATCTTACTCAAGAATCTTAATTAATAATAAAAATTATTAATATTTACCATGTTAAGATTATTTTATCTTCCTTAGAGTCTTTGCCTCTGCTCATAATAAATTTGAGAAAATTCGTCTAAACTTATATTTCCATCGGCGTTTGTGTCTAGAAACTTAAAGATTTGCATGCTTTAGTCTTCGTTTATATCCAGTTATAAGATATCTAAAGTCAATTGAAACTCTTCAAGTGATATATCTCCACTATTATTCACATCAAAGAATCTAAAGGCAGACTTTAAGTCTGGATATTTCTACTCAAGTTTACCTTATAGCTTATTTAAAAGCTCTAAGATATATGTCCTCACCTGAGTATTTTAATTCTAGTTTTGCTGAATGACATCTCTCATAAAAGTTGAATCATTCTTAAATTTACTATATAAAGAGTTTTTAATGGTATATCTAAATTACTTAGGAGGCTTATTCCAGAACATAATTAAATAGCTCAAGGCTTTGATGAACTAATAATCCACCTAGCTGGTACCATTCTATAGCAATAATACTAATATTTAAAATCCTTACTGCAAAAAGTTTCAGCATATCTCTAAGATGAAACTTAGTAATTTCATTTGAACAAACTTTTTTAAGGGCTTGTTTAAAAATCTCTACAGAAACTGAACCAGTTGAATTTTAATCTAGCTTAAGGAATTCTCTTCTAATGTGATTCATAGTTCTCTAGTCTATCTCAAATGATTGCATTTTTTCAAATATTTTTTAGGCTTGGTCACCTGGGAAATAATCCTAGGTAGCTTTAAGAGGTGAAAAGTAGTCTATAGTTTTAAGTTTCTTTTCCTCTTTAAAAGAGAAAAAGTCTGGTGATTCTGATTTCCTAATCAAATTGTCACCATGGCCATAGTCCATCAATGATTTCATATTATTCCCAGAAGATTTTAGATAAGATTGCGAAACTTTGTAAGTACTAAAGTTGTCACTCGAGCTTTAGTTACCTCTAACGACAGATCTGTTCTGACTTTTTTATGAGGGTTCTGATAATATATTCATGATGTCTGAATTCTATTAATTTTATGGGCTCTTTCTACCTGTTGCTTTAGTTTGGTTTTGTACTTCTTTTTTTTATTTGTCTCCTTATATTTTATCATCAATTTTAGCAATTTTATCCGATGACTGATTCAGATACTCATTATATATTGGAATCTTTCTGGGTGATTTACTCATCTCTTTCTTAATTGGTTTCTCTACTAATTGGAAGTTTTAAGTATCCACTTCAGTCAAGACCATATCCCTCATCAATTCAAAGTATTTTATTTTGTCAATATCACTTTTGACTACAGCCTGACTCTCAGTTAAGGTGTATTTATGAATTTTAGACTTGTAATTTTCAATTCTAACTTAAAGACATTCTAACATAGTTTGAAGTTAAGACTTCTCAAGTACTCCATGCTTTTAATGATCTAATTGCTGCAAAGCTTTAACCAGCCTTGCTTTGATAGCTTACTCTTGAGTTGCTAGACTTTTTTAATCTGTCATTTTATTTAAGTTTATTTTGATATAAATCAAGTTACCTAGAATCTTCTGGGTATTCTAGTTCTAGAGTCAAATTTATTATGACTTGGATATTAATAAAATCTTAATATG